AAAAAAAAAAAGGCTTTTAAAGAAAAAAATGCAATTAATTTTTATTAATTAATATTTTAAAGTACTGTAGAAGATTGAAATGAAACATATTTATTTGAAAGACAAAGTAATTCAGTTTAAACTACTTTAAAGAAAAAATATTAATACGTATTTTTAAGTTGAAGATTTACATGAAACACATTTGAAAGACAAAATAACCTTGTTTTACGAAAAAATATTTTTATTAATTAATATTATAAAGCAGAAAACATTTATTTGAAAAACAAATTAACTCTGCATAAAGAAACAAAAAACAGTTCTTACTAATATTTTAAAGTAGAAACTTCAAAGAAAACACGTATAAAATAACTAAATTTAAAGAAAAAATTAATTTAGATTTTAAAGTAGAAACTTCACATGAAACATTTGTTTGAACACAAATTAATTCAGTTTAAAGAAAAAATTGATATTTTGAAGTAGTAACTTCACTTGAAACAAATTTATTTGAGAAAGAAAGTAACTCAGCAACACAAGGATCTCAGTGACTCAATGAGAATAATGTACAAGACTGCAGTCATTTACGAATTTATTAAAATTAGGTGTCAAGTTGCTTGTAACAATTATTTAGCGTTGCTTGGTAACTTTCTCTTTCAAATTTACTAACACTTGGCGGGCCGTATGTGGCCCGAAGTTTGCCCACACCTACAATAGACGAAGGAACGGTAGTCCTCCGAGAATTGCGCAAACGGCAGGAATTTAATCATGCAAACCGATGAATTAGAAGTTGTCCTAAAAAAAAATAAGGCGTGCGCCGAAGTTCCCAGGGGTTTTTTTTTGTACGCATTTGAAAACCGGTCATTCGCTGGAAATATCTATTTACAGCAAATAAAAATAAAATCTGTGTAACTTTAAATGCAAGAGCATTCCCCAATGAAGACTCGACAAACAGAAATAGTCATTGTATCATCGGCTGTTGCAGTCGATAAAAGAGTAAATTCAATAGAACGTAACCTTGCTGGAGAGCTGAAAAAGTAGGTGGCAATGTTACCTATGGTTACTAGATTACTTGGAACAGTCTCATGAGAGCCTTACAATGAGGCCGGAAGAATGGAAAATTGGAGTAAGAATCATATCTATCCAGAGAACGACATTATTCAAATCACTTAGAATAGCGGCAGTGAATGAGAATGAAAGAGACTTGTTGACACTTGACCTCCAAAGAAAGCCACTAGTTGTAACTGGTGTAAAACGAAATTAGAACAAGCAATAATAATAATAATGTAATATTTAAAAAGGTAAAAAAAAAAAGAGAATCGTAATAAATAAAAAGGTTGGTTGGTGAAGTAGTTAAAAGTCAACTCACGGGAGCAAAACGAACACAAGCCGACAAAGAGAGACGCCTAAGTCGACGGGATATATCTGCTTCGCTTCCGGTTGAGAGTAATGAAATCGGTCAGCCATTTTGGACGGTTTTCCTGTTTGTACACTTTGTCAATTTCGCAAATGTCCTGACAACTAAATGGTACAAGGGTTGCTCTTATTTTGTACTATTTGGCCTAGTTTATAGTGACTTCATATGTTTGCCTGTCTATCTTTGAAGCAGTGTGTTGGTTGGTTGGATGATTTTGTTTAACGACATATCAACACCTCTATGGTTTATTTAGTGCCGAAATCTAAATATTTCGGAACAATTTTATGACTTCAACTAAATATATTTTGAACACAATTGTATGCCTTCAATTACAGAAAAAATGTATTGTTGGTCATTTTATTATAGATATGTATTGTTGGTAATTTTTATATATTAAAAATATACTGCTGGTATTTTACTATAAGAATGTGTTGCGATCAGAGGCCTTGCTTCCGAATGTAGTTTATCGTCATACCCAGGAATATGAAGCAGTATGCGTATGATTTTATTGATATGACCTCTTTAGAGTATATATAAAATGTTATAATAAAAGTAACATTTTGTATTAGATTCATTTCATAATTAATCTTATTTACATTATTTATAAACTAACAATCGCAAGGCCCCTGATTAGGAGGTTTAGAGAAGCATGGAACCACCTTTGAATTGCTGTTGTTGCCTGATCCGGGATTGTAGCACCTGCTAGGGCCCCAGCTGTGGTTAAATAGTGAACCGAAAGTATAAAAATACACTTTTGTCGTAAAACTACCAGAAATACATATTCATAAAAAAAAATACCAGCAATACATTATTGAAAAAGGAAGAGAAAAATTACCAGCAATATATTTTTGAAAAAAGAATTACCAAAACTCCCAAGAAAATTAAATTTCAACATTAAATGACTCTTAAGGAGTTGATATGCCGTAAACCAAACCAAATCAAACCGTTAACAACAGAACCTTGCTGCAATGTTGCTCAACGTCTCACAGTTGATCCAAAAGCGTTTTTGGATGCTGAACACCGGTTGTCGTCTGATCACCGAAGTTAAGCAACGTCGAGCCTGGTCAGTACCTAGATGGGTGAACGCCTAAGAATACCAGGTACTGTAAGCTTGGATGTGCGGGTGGTGTAATGGATAACGACTCAGAACTGGAAATCAAAGAACTGAGTTCCAATTTTAGTCGGGTTCGTTCTATTTACTTATACGCAAATACCACCGGAACTGAGATAGATATGAATGCACTTCTCCCCCAACTATGGTTTAAATAGTAGGACTTGTAAATCGTTATTACGTCAAAAAATACAATGCAAAATATTTTCTGGCTTTAAAATTAACTTAAACTATAAAAAAAAAATCAATCAAACAATGTTAACTTATAACGTTGCCAAAAGCTTAACTTGTAATGCGGCAAGGGCTCCATAGAAAAAGGATAAAGGAATCTAGAAAAATATCAGAACATGTATTCACCATCTATATTCGTGATTCTTAATTTAAAAAAAGAAAATGGATGAAAATAAATGTTCTAACTTCGGCACATGTTGTTAAATGAAGAAAAAATTATCCTGGTGTTATTTTGAAAGACCCACTCGTTATTCTAAAATGAATAATTTGTAAAAAATTTTACTTCAAGCGAAACGAAAGACGTTCATGAGGAACATATTTCGCTCAGAAAGTATTCATCCATTTTGAATATAGCAATAAACTGGTTGAGCAGACTTGATGTAAATTAATAACGAAGCACAACAAATATATATAAAGTTTGGCTTGATATGAAAGCACAGCAAATAGGCTTAAAGTTTGGCTTGATATGTAGGCGAATAGGCATAAAGTTTTGCTTGATATGAAGGCGTAGCAAATAGGAATAAAATTTGGCTTGAAACTTGAAATGAAAACGAATAGGCATAAATTTTGACCTGAAAAATTGAAAACACATCGAATAGGCTTAGAGCTTTCTTTTCAAAATTATTCGAAGTTTGAATCAACGAGAGAAAAATTTGGTATCAACTTGCGTGGGGATTCTTTTAAAGCAATCCATATTCTGCAAGACTTTCAAGAAGCAGAACATCTGACAATATGGAAGATGTGTGGACACTAACGAAATTAAATCGGCGACTGAATGTGTGAAAATGAAAAAAATACACGGAATTTTGGGAAAGTATCTCAAATATTTCAACTGCCAATTCTTTATCCGACGGTCTGTTTTTTTTTTGGGGGGGGGGTAAAAATTCGCTTAAGAGGACTTTCCAGACCTTGTGGGGATGGATTAAAAATGTGACATTCCCCTAGATTGGCTTCTTTTTTTTTATATGAAACGGTTACATCATTTCCGAGTGAAAGTTTGTATAAGTAAACCAAAAGGAAGACAAGACAGAAAGCATCACAGTTTCGATACCTTAATTCAAAATGATTTTTTAAAAAATGAAAAAGCATTCCTGAAGTTTTCTTTTTGGCTTTAACTAGAAGCTAAATGATTGAATTTACTATTTCCAGCAAGCAATATTCTCTGGTGTATTTCAAATAGAAATTATACTGAATGGAATCTCAATGTTTTGTTCGCTTTCGGAAATCGTTTAAATTCAGCCATTTTTGACATATTTGTAAAGAAAAGTTAATTCTCGGTTTTAAAAATCTCCCAAAAATAAAATATACTTATCTGAATCTTTATTTGAGAAATACTAGCTGAATTAATATATAATTAATCTGATTTGAAAAAATATTATTTACTTTAAGTTTAAAATAACAGGGAAATGAATTTTAAAACAAACAGTAGCGGCGATTATGTACTTGTCACTCGGAGATCACTTAACAGGAATTGATAAGATGTTGACAGATTCAAGTGTTGTTCTAAAGAGAATTCATCTGTTAAAACATAAGTTACGAAAATAACAGGTGAGAGCCTTTTTTATATAATTTAAAACTTATATAAAAAAAGGCTCTCACCTGTTAAAAGTACTCAGTAATCTTAAAAATGTTGGAAAATATTTCCCGTAATCTAATTTAAGGAATGCTGTCTTTAATATCACTATAGTCATTGCACTTATTTTCTGATAATGTCGTCTATGGCTGACCATACTTTCAAACAAGGGCACCTTACATAATATTTTATATTCACAAAAAATAAAAAAAATAATTAAAAATTATTTTAAAAATTCTAAAGCAAAATGCTCTGTATTAAGGTTTTCAATTTTTGATTAGTAAATATAGATTTCACTTAATAACAATATCACCTAACAGGATTGAAGTTATGGAGAATTTTAAAAGACTGAAATTATTATAAATAATTTTTTAAAAAATGACAACAATTCTTGTAAAAATTCATTATTCATCGAAAATTTTTTTTCTTAAATGTCCTTATAAATCATATTTATAAAAGCAATTAAAAGTTTTTTCTAATTAAATAATGTCATAGTTTTATTGTATTTTTTATTTTACGATTCACAGTAGATTTTCGGGAAATGAGCAGTAGTTTGAAAAATAAAATTGTTGATTTACATTCTCCAAAGAGTCATACTTTTAACAAATAAAACAAATTTTGAGAATGAAATTTAATTTTTTGAAATTTCATGAAATTAAGTAAGTGGGAGAGGGGGTAACATATGTAAAATTTACCAAGAATTTCTTAAAAAAATTTCAAAAATAATTTCATTCATTTGTGAATAAGTCCTGTCTTTAAATAACCTGCAAAGTGTTGACAAGCCGCAGAAAATGAATCAATGAACAACAAAAATCTTGAGGTCATTAGGTACAAAGAATTTATTTTATTAAAATTTAATTAAAATTAAACCCCAAAAAGGTTTATTGTAATTGTACGTATTTTATATGCAAATAAAGACAGGCGTAAAGAGAAAGAAAGAAAGAAAGAACAACAACAACAACAAAAGAAAAATATGTTTCATTTTTTTTTTTTTTTTTTCATAATTTAAAAGTGAAATTTGTGTGAGATGAAAGTCTCAATCAAAATGAGTGATGGATATACATATGCACAGACACATACACACATACACACACACACGCACATGTTTCTGCAGCTATAAACAGAATAGCGAAATATATGCATATTTATAACATAGTAACAACATGCATGTGCTGGTTAATGCATATAGTAATATACAATTACGAAAAAGTACTGAAAAGTTCTCAGCCTGACGAAGAGTCTTATGTTTGTCGAGCCAACTTCTCATTGACCTCTCTTGCATATGCAATATAAAGAAAGAAGGGAAGAAAGAAAGAAAGAAAGAAAGAAAGAGAAAAGGGAAGAAAGAAAGAAAGAGAAAAGGGAAGAAAGAAAGAAAGAAAGATAAAAAAAAGAAAGAAAAAGAAAGAGAAAAAAGAAAGTGAAAAAGAAAAAAGAAAGAGAAAAAGAAAGAAAGAGAAAAAGAAAGAAAAAGTCATTTGTTTAATGAGTCAAGTGATATTTCTCGTTTTACAAAACGCTACGCTTCTTTTCATGCTGCGTGGGACATTTTTGGGTGGAGACCTCGATGCAATCGAATAAAATTTGGAGGAGAATTTGACGGTTTCTTTTCGAAGACTTACATCATCTTAAAAATAGCAAAACCTTTAAAAAACAAAATTAGATTCGTGGTTAATACCAAACGAGTAATGTTTTCTCCGGATTTATTGGATGCTGCATTGTCTTTAATAAACTGACAAGTTCACAGCCCGTGACGCTTCCCAAAATCTGTCCAAACATAGAATTTATGAGAATCCCTTGGGTGAGCTGAGAACTTTTCAGCACGTTTCATTTCAATTTTTGACGAGAGTTCTTTTCATCTCTGTTGTTGTTTTGGGGTTCATTTTTTTTTTTTATCAAAACACTCAGGTCGATTTTATTTTCTAAGTAGTATGGAATGTAAAGAAAGATGTGACCTCTGGCTAGATTTTTGCATGTGAAGACAGTCTCGGACAAAACACATCATGAGAAATGAAAAACCAGACGAAATCTATTGTGTAAGAGAAAATATAATATGACATTATATATTTATCAGTCACGCAGTCTGATCTCCCCTATTGAGTAAGGAGATATTCCGTTGTAATTGTAACATGAGCTAATAAATGAACATCATTCATGTCAGAATAACAAAGGAATAAGAAATTAGAACATATTGATTATTATTTCCTTTTGTTTCATGTTAGCTTTCTTTTGTAATTTTTCTTTTCATTGGTTTAAAAAACATTTTTTCTTACACACGACTTTAGAGCTTGTTTATAGATAAAATTTCTAATTTAGTCATACGAGTAAATATAAAAATGCAACTAAAAAATTACCTAAATATTTCATAATATGTACCAACCCAAACCTAGAGGGACTGAATGAGGCACATGGTCAGTTTCCCATTGAGCGCCCATACGCAAAGGACCAAAGCTGTGCAGTCCTTAAAACGACTCTCATGTTGACGTCGGAATACTCTGATTCTCTAACGTTAGTAATAACTGGAGGGAGGTGCTTTTATAGGGTTGCAATCCCTAGGACGAGGTTTCCCTCAATGCAAATCTGCAAGCTGCCAGAAAGCTGACACGCAGTGGAGGTGAGGGACATATACTACGCTTTAATCCACACACCCATCACGAATATGACACAATGCCAAGTTAAAAGTTGGGGTAACAGAACTAATTTCAACTCGGAACCTCGAAAGGGTAATTTGCAGTTCAAGTACCACGCTTAGTTTCTGTTGTGGATTCCGGGATGAAATCCGGTACCAATAAATAACAAACGCCAAGAAGGAATATAGGAAAATAAATGTATTAACGTAATAATACAAACTGGTAATGCAGGTTAGTAGTTCCAGGAATACGGGTTAGCAGCAGAATATATATACAGTCTTTGGTATTGAAGTATCGCTGTATGACTTACTGAGTCTACGTGCTTGCTCACTATGACTCTTGCTTGTTTCGTTCGTGCTCGTTCGTCGCTCTCGGGTATTCACTAGCAGTAGTCTACGTATACCCTGGGTGAGTCCATTTGTGTAAAAAGGGGAGAACCCCTCAACAGTTTCTAATAAAAAAATTCCCGAATAGTTCTATTTAGGTGTAAATATTCATGGTTAATTCGAAAATAACAAAGAAATTTCGATAAAATCTACCGTTTTGGAGTTATCGACAATAAAAG